CTCATTGGTGAACAACTTGATATGTCATTTTTTACTGTAAATACAGTAAATTCATTAAATATTCTTATGTTATCTGAAAACTCCAAGCAAATGAATTACATTCAGATAAAAAAGTATTCAATAACATAAAATCAGAATTTACAGATAAAACTTAAACTTAAAAATGGCTGCCCTGAAAAATTAGTATTTTCGATTTGTCAAGTTATTCACGCCTGGTACGGATATATTCTATCTCTATACTCTAATTTAACCGCATGTTTTAGCTAAACAATATGCTTCGCATAATTAGTTTTGACTGGTGTACATGTTCACCAGACCTCCCTGGGAAGAAGATAATAACACTGAAGTCTTTTTGAAGCATTTTTAACTGACTGCACAAGAAGCTGGATTATGTTTTTGTGGACGTGTGTATTTCTTTGGCACGCTCTATAGTCTAAACGGATTGATTTATTTTGGATTAGGAGATCTCATTTAATTCTTTTTAATTGTGAGAGTAACACTGGGTGTATTAAAATTATAAGTACTGGGTGTATTAATCGAGGGTTTGTAAACTTTATCTATACATTAACAATATTCCTTTTCATTAAGTTTGAAAGCTTATATTGGAAGTGGTTTTAGGTCAGTAGTGAGTTTGGTGGTATGTGAATCTGTTAGAATTGCCTTTTGAGAGCTTATTACTTGAGTTTATCACTTAGACTAATAACGGTTTGGTTCTACTATTACATGACATGTAATCAGACTCTACAATTATATAGCATAAATGAGGCTTCTTTATAGACGTCTACTTGAATAACTAATTCTGATATTTAATCAGAATTAGGTTTAAATTTTTTCCCATGACTATTGAGCATAGGCAATAAAGAACCGGTTGTTTTATAGCTTGCATGCAAAAGCATGGAACACATTCGACTGACCTTAAAATGGCTTAAATGTGTAATAAAGAATTCAATATCTTCCAGAACTGGAGTCTCACACAATAACATAAATGATAAGTCCGTGAAATAGTTTTATATGCTACTTTAATTGCCTATATCGCGTTTAAACCAGTCGCGGCAGCACCCTAACGGCAGTTTAATTATAATTGAAAACTAATTAATTCTACCTCCGAGCACAATCTTCAATTTGATATAGATCATAATAATTACAGATTATTAACACGCCATCCAAATGGATTCAATTTTAAAATGACCCTTTCTTAAATTGTAATCCTTGCACGTGATACCAAAAGAAAAGCTCGTTTTTCTTTCACTGTAACAATGGTCATGCACGTGTACAATGTATGTACATTCCAAATTTGAAATTAGAACGAAAAAAAAATTAACCCAAATTTTGCAAGAGTTGCGGCATTCGAAATAAGGGTTGCAAAAAATCCTTTCTAACCCGAGCGTCCGATGCATCGAACACGTGCATGAGGTAACAATGCTTCGATGACTCACGAACGAGCCTCGAAATGTCGATACAGAACGCCGTATTATTAAACTGGAAAAAGAAAAAAAAGATAAGCGCTCACTCGTCGTACCGCGTCAAGGAATTGTACATCTGCCGAAATTTCTCACGGATCCGTCGCTCGAACGCAAGTATGGTATTATTATACCGGACCACTTCGCTATCTCAAACCGAGTATTATAGATCTGGTGTTCTGGTAATTATGACGACTTGGCTAGCGGTACTTCACGCCCCGAGAACTTTTGAATCAATAGCTTGAACTAGCATATCTGGTTTCTTCTATTTTGCGAAACGAGAACAAAATTATGCAGAAATGCAAATTTTGCGGTTGTGTTCATATTGATTCTTAAGCAGTTTTATTTTGGTGACAAGAAGCTAGTTATACTTTTTACTGAAAATTAATAAAAAAAAAATTGTTTAAGGTAAATGTTGTAAAAATATGGAAAAAATTGAAACTATTAATTATTTGTTTGCATTAACTGTTTGTTTTTATATCAATAACTTTCCAAATTAAAACCAGAAAGCCCTGAGACCTGTAGTATTCTGGATATTACGCAGGGTTTTTAGTTGTGCTCAATACTTTGGTATTTACGCAAAAATTCCAAACGTTTGTACAGTTGCATAAGAATTTAGGTTTCTTTAGTATGTTATGTTCGGCGCATAAAATGAAGTAGCGTGATGAGTAAGCATCGAGAATGTAAATGCCTTTAAACCTGATTCATCCCCGTTATTGCCTTTATATGTATGCTTTAATTGATATTAGCAACATGGCGTAAATAAATGTCAATTTTAATTTTCGGTTTTATGCATCTTGAATGTAATTTCATTAAAGATTTTTGGAATATTGCCTTTTAAGTTTTAAGTATTTAACTAAGGCTTTAGATATTTTGCAAGAATGCAATTACAAATTACACCTATAGAACACTGATGTATTGCATGTATACGTGGAACGAAAAATTGATTGCAATTTAATTTTTTTGTTTATTTACTGTCGCACCTGTATTTTGCGTCATGGTGCTGTATTCTTATATAAGTGGATGTTGAAATGATTTTATTATTCACATATGTTTTTGCTATTGTGATAAATATTAGAAATTGAAAAATATATATTTCTTTTGTGTAGAAATATTTTAATGAATTGATTAGTGCCATAATTAGAGTGAGTGTAGGTAATAAATTGCATGTTAGTTACCTATACTAATATAATTGCTTTGATAATAGCCTACAATAGTTATGCAAACCCACAATAACTTTATGGATTTGTGATAATGTGTCTTTTGAATTGCACGTGTATTAATGCATAAACTGTTTTGTTAACTTTTTTTACTGTTCATCTTATTTCTATGTCACCGCTTTTCTTTGATTGCACAATGCATTCTGAATTTAAATAGTAGCCTTCGCAGACACGTTGAGACTTGTTCGAAGTTCGAACTTTTTAAACAGGTTGCAACTTGTTGTGCTTGAGGGTGGCTTTACCTTTTTAATATTATTTCATGCAAGAGGAACGGCCTTATATTAAGTACGGCCTATGTCATTATCGAGAATATCTTATCTTTCACAACGGTTAAATTAATCGTTTTTGCTTGAATAATGAAAGTTGTAGTTTTGATGAGATGTATAGTTAGTGTATATGGAATGTTGGTGTAGGTATATCGGAGATACCTATCTCCACGTTGGCATTAATATCTGTAAATAGCAGTTGTCAGTAAATTTAAATTTTTGATCTTTTAATAGTACATTAATTTATTTTGCTTATATTGTTAATCGTTTTTAGCATGTCAAGTGTTATTGCACCACAAAGCCATTTATCAAAAATTCAAGTTATCATCATATGAGTCATTATGTTATTTGCATTGCTTAGTGATACATTGGTGTCCGTGTGGTAATGGATTGACGTTGTGGTGACGGATTAAGAATACGGAGTGTCCACCCGTGGATGTCGTAAGAGCCGACTAAGGGAGCAAACTCTGCAGGACAAAAGTACTGCAAAGGGAAGGAAAACTAGAAACAAGCCTTACAGAAATCTGTTTGGCCAGCGTGGTAAAGCAGGCCAAAACCGTATTTCTAAGGTGAGCCCTATGTCCAGCAGTTGACTATTAAAGGCTGTTGATGATGATGATGATGACATCTATTGGAAAAATCAGAATGACTAGCTTTTAGATCATCACTACTGTTACTCTTTTGTGAAAAAATGAAACTTATAGGAATAAATTAGTGTAAGTACCTAAGAAGTCGAGCAATTCAGTATCGCATAATATATCTAAATCATATTGGCGGCAAAGTTGAGCTCAGTAACAAAAAATTATAACAGATAATTTTTATATTTAGTGAGGGTGAAAATAAAAATGAAGGTGTGTGTACTACTATGTTAAGTTAGTAGTTAAGTAATCCGTAAAGTAAGAAAACTGTTATCTTCTGAAGACTTCCGTAATATGCAATTCTCAGTTACAGTAAGACAAGGATTTCCTGCAACTTTGGTTTTGGCATCAGCGTATTTCGTAGGAGGGGTTCCCGTGCTACAACCTCTACAAGCAAAATACTACCCTATACAGCTTGTAAATAAGAATTGCAGATACTACTATAATACTATCTGTTTACATGTACATACCTAAGTGAAATGTAAAACTGTAGTAGTCTAGTCACAATAGCGGACCAGCAAGTCATAAAATTATACGGTAAACGTTATATAAGTACAACGCTTACAACAGTGAAGGCGGTTCAAAGTAAATAATCCTTTAAGAGGACAGCGGCGAGTTAAAAAGATTGTTAAAAACCCAGTAGCGAGGTGGTTTGTGCCCCGGGCCTTGCACGTGCGCAGCGCAAAATGTTGCCCTCCCTATATGGCATTGGCGACGGGCTGAATAGCTCGCCCGTCGGACATCCCGTCAGACTGCTTTTTGTGTAAGACCATGTATATGTTTCAAATTGGATATGGTTAATACACTGATTCTGTGTTTTCTTATAGCACTCTATTTTATTTTTAACATTTGCTACTGTAGGTACTTAGAGTTGATTCTTTGATTGGTATGTAAATTGTATCACTTTAAAGGCCTTCGTGTTAATGGATAATGGATTTTGAAAAAAAGTTAGCGCTTTTTTTTGTTTAGCTTCAATCTTTACGATTGATAATATAGCTTTCAGTGTTTATATGTTTAGTATGTGTTTTTTGTAAAGGGTTTTTGGTGTTTAAATTGAAAGATATAAAATTCATTCAACTCATTTTTTATTACAACTCGAGTAATTTGTAAACAATAAATAATCCCTAAAACAATTAAAGCTTGATAGGCAGATCACAATGTAAAGCTTACTATTCCCTAACACTAAGTTATATAATACAAAATATTTTTTAAATACTTAAATCACAACACGCTCGAGATTGCAGTTAAAGCTTTTAAGGAGTTATCACGAGTATTGAGCAGGCTTAATCTAAACTTATCTCTATATGGCACCTTGAACTATAATTAAAGCTAAGATCACAGACGGTTGCAGAAACCAACGGAGGAGACACTGGTTTCACGGAAGACACTGATTGTTTTAGTGTTTGATGATTGAATTTAGGCTTGCACCCAACGATCTTGCAAGACTGGATATTGCTGCTCCGCTGTCTGGCACTCGGTGTAGCAATGTGCCGCTGCGAAGTCAGATTCAGTTTTGGAGACGGTGGTCCAGAAGAAGGTGCCGGCCTCGGTCCTTGCGAAATGCACGGGTACGTAGAAGTTGTCTGGTGTCACAGGCACAAGGTCGCACGTGTCGTCCTTGTTGTACACTAAGAAGTGAGCGCCGGGTTGACAGGATTCCATTTCCTCGCAAATTTTGCGCTCCAACAACTCGTTGCAGGAGTTCTGATCTTCCTCGTAGCACGTGTCCATTGTTTTGGCGGGAGTGCGCTTCGTTGTCTTCTTGATCATTTTCATCAAAGGCCTCAGTAGCGCTTTGATTCCAGTATTTTTCATCTTTTCACTGTTGTATCGGTTTTCATTGATCGAGTTGTTTGTAGCGATGATGTATTCGTTGTTAGCGTAGTAAGACATTTTGGAAGATGTGGATAGATAAATAGTAAATGTAGAGAACGTGTGTCGCTAGTGAGATCACAGGCGGGAATGTGGGGCTGTAGGTGCCGGTCGGGCTTTTATACCGTTCTCGCCGCCCCAGGCACAAAAGGCCCGCGTGCGTGAAAAGCGCCCTTCGTTTGTGTGGGTGTGTCAAGTGGTTTATTCGAAACCTTAATGTGCGTCTACTATATAGGGACAGGCCTAAATAATTTTCGCAAAGTTGGGAGCTTTGGAAATCTATAATTCTAGTTTTTTAAAGTTAAAGTTAGAGTATCAATGATTACTTCATGCTTTATGAGTTTATAACAGTTTTTTTAAGGCTTGAAGAATGTATGATTTTTTGTATGTGTAAGATTTTTTTTTAAAGTTCCAATTTAAGAAACATTAAATTTAAAATATAAAGATTTTGTTTTCATATCATGTTCTCTTTGACATCTTAAGACTTTTCACAAAATGTGTTTTTTAATTTGCATATACGCCTTTTTGAATTCTATATTGTAACAAAAATAAGTAACAAGTGTTCAAAGGGGTTTCATGGGAAAATAGTCCACGTGCCGTCCACACGCCCAAATGTGGACAAATAGAACACATGTTGATTGCCCCCTCGGTGCGCGGTATCCCTTTGCCGGGGTCACTAAGTCAGGGGCCGAGGGTGAACATCGACCCCTCCTGTTGGCTCGCGCGCCATTCACGCGCTTAACACGAGAACCTAATAACACCTGATTTAGGGTAGTTGATTAATTTTGGACATGTTTATCATGGTTTGTAATAAATTTTATCATATCATCGTTTCTTATAAACAAAACATGCATTAGTAGTCAGTGGCTCATTTGGAATTCTTACACGTAACCCTACCAGATCTGATGTTAGGAATTATCCTAGTCAAAGTTCATTAGCATTTTGTTTACAAAAAAAAATACCGAAGTTAAGATACCACCTACACATAAAATATTCGGCTTGTACCGGTCCAAACATGTAAGATTTTTTCTTAGCATGTCCGAAGAGAGTATTACAAAAAAATCAAGTATAAAAGAAATCAGTGTAGCGGTGATAGAAGTTGCTCAGCCAATGGGGTGCGCGCGCGCAGGCAGGTGCTACGATCCGAAGACTCTCGCACACACACGTTCGAATTTTAAATATATGATCTTTGAACACGTGCATTCGAAGGGGATGAATATATGCATTCGACGGTGTCCCGAGCGAGAGGCGCGATATTTTTTATCGATGTGAATAGATTCACGACTCCCTCATATCCGAAATAGGGTAACGCAAAGGCTAATTTGGTTATTGAAAATTGAGGGGTTGTTCGTGGGAATGCTCCACGTTCCTAGGTTCCCAGGGTTGCTCGCACATTGAGTTTTTTTTCGGCGATTCGAGATTCGGAACGACGACAGATGGCAAGCGGTCGATCGTTCCTGTTCTGCTTTGTTATAATAAATCGTATGGGGTATTGGAATTAAACATACCATTTTGATGGCTCAGCGCGTTTACGGGGAGTTGAAGGGATGAAGATGTAAACAAGTGTAAAAGGGGTCAGTAGAACTCGACCCGGACTATAATTAAATGTCTATTAGGAGCGTTTTGTGATTATTAGGAGCTATTGTTAAGGGTAGAAGTTGATTGTAATGACTTTAGTTCTAAATATTTTGAAGATAATTATGGTTGTAAATTTATGTTAATCGGAATTTGTCGAGTTTGCTTAAGGACTTGATAAATGTATAGCTGTCGAGCACTTAGACCGACTTAGATGATAAGAAATCCTATTTTTGCCTGTGGTTCTTTTCCTTTCTTTAAAATGCAATTTCCTTAATACCATTTCAGCATGCAATGATTGGAGTATTAACCATAAAATACATACATTCCCATGCTAACCGGCTATAAATTTGTCACTTTTTTCAGGAGTTAACCATCATATCACGCATCTAGTTTCCCACGATATGAAGATGCAAAAACGTAACAAAGAAAGAAGATAATAGATAGGGAAGATACTTTTGCGTCATGGAAAAAAAAATGTTGCCATTGTGCCCTGCGGCGTGACAAGTGCGTGTGACGTAACGTATAATGATGGCGCCCCTACACCCCTCTATAGTCTATTGTTATTTGTTTGTGATAGCACTTGTTGCTGGGAAAGGTTGAATTGAACTGAGGTTTTGTTAAGATTGAATTATTATTTCAAAAATATATCTGTTTTGCTATATATGAAAACATTCCACTTATTACACACATATCTCCATTCGAAATAAACACAATTGTATAATTTTAAGATACCTGGGTGTGTGATAATAACTCTTAATAAGTAATTGACGACGATTCATAGACCATATTCATGGAAGTTACTAAGTTACAATCTACAACACACTTAGGTGTTGCTTTTACTCTATTCTACTTGATATATTATTGTGTATTTAGAGATCTGCTAGAAAATATTACTTAGCGAAAACTAAACAGAACATTTTCTTTTTATTCTATTTAGTAGTTGACATAGATTATTTTGTCTCTGGAAAACATTTTCAAACGCTTTTTTTTGAGTTACATAATCTAATAAGAATCTGTTAGATAATTCGATAATTAGTGATTTTTTAACTAAGTTCTATTATATTTTGCGAATGTAAGCAATCTTTTAAGTTTTACAATTCGTTGTTAGTTAATCTACTTTATCTTTGTTATTCGTTAATTGTTTTGATTTTAAATATGTTATGTTTAACCTCCGTTGTTTAACTGATAAATTTATACGTTTATAATTATTGTTTTCTATTCAATGTTAACTTTAAGATTAAGTATTTCATTAAGTTTATTGGGGTTACTATTACTTACTCTAGCAATACAGCATGATCTTAATTCCTTCGAATCCAACTTATATTCTTAATTTACTATGGCCATTGGAGTTATTTTTCCCTTTAAAGACTTTTTTATAATCTTTTTTAACAAGTTATTTTTTTAAAACGTGAAAACGTCAAAAGAAAACGAGATTTCACAAATGTCATCTTAAAAAAAGCACTGCGTTCCCCTTCGTTTTCTGAGTGTGGGAATTTCAGTTACCGTATCACTTGAATATGGAACGAGGGTGGAAAATAAAGCAATGTATAAATCACCCCTAATCACTTCTATTGTTAACTTGTACACTTGTTGCATCACTATCCCGTACGACATTTGTTACTACAACAGATATACTGCTCTTTATGACAATCTGCCCTCTAATTTGAACCTTATTCTTAAATAATAAAAGTCATTCTCTAGTTATGCTTTGTTAGATAACTGAAAAATTAAAATTGTAAAAGCAAGGTACGAGGGCGGTAAATTTTAGGGGTTGTCGAACAATTAAGTGAATTGCAGGTAAACTTATTTTAAATTGGATAAAATATAAAAGATTTTGCATGAGGGTGAATAGGATATTATAAATAATAAATAGTTTATTGATTTGTATGGCTGAGGTTGTATTATAAATATTTAAATGTGTTTTATTAATAAAAGATGTATCTTTTTTATTCATCATTTTTGTTGTCCTTAATATTTAAATAGTTTTTATTTAACATTAAAGAAGTTTACAACTTCGGTCGTATCATTAATTTAAATCAAAGCACCCTTTCAAAGTAACACTTGTTCTTGTGCACGTCGTATAGGTCTTGCCAGCGTGATATAAAAGGCCAAAACCTCCTTTCTAAGGAGTGGGTATGTCCAGTACTGATGATGTTAATGATGATGATAATGACTTAATAGGTTCTAATATACCTTAATGTAACATGTTCCAGGTTGTTAGGTAGTATCTTTTGCTTAAAGTTTTTTGAGCTACAAAATCGAAAAAAAAAAACTGTTTCAATATAAAGGAGTAAATCAATATTACAGAAGTAGAAACATCTTGAGTTTTTATTTTCATTCTTTATGCACAAATTAGGATTGTAAAATGACGGGCTTAATGCCACAAGCATTTCCTCTCAGTCTATCATAAGGTAGTGCGGAAATGTTGATGAGGTACACTAGATATTAATATTAAAAAAAAGAGAAAATAATTGAAAAGTTGGACAGAAATAATGGGACAATTATACATACACACTAAGGTACACATACATGTATACTTTCTAAGTTACAGACTGCACGGCTGTCGTAGTGGTTTAAGAGTGGTTACGCTGAGTGTTGTGGGTTCGATGCCCAAACAGAACGACACTTTATGTGATCCACAGATTGTCTTTTTGAGCCTGGGTGTTCTTTGTGTCCGTTTCATGTATATTTGTAAAGTCGACCGCGACACAGGATTTAATGGTAGTGCGGGAGTTGTCTTTTTAAAGAAAACAAGAAAACAAGATATACTTAAGAAAGAAGAAGTAAGTCTGGCCATAAAATCTATTACAGTTAAAAAGCCCATTATATTACATTTGAACTTGGAACCTGTCATTCTTATATGAATGCTTATTGTGTTTTCATAGTTTCGCGCCACTCGTAGTTAAATAATTTTGTGATATTTAAATGGAGTAGGGCGATGTAGTAGGACATGTTTTATGCAATAGAAAAAAAATCCTTGTAAAAATATTTATGGCAAAACTATTTACATAATTAATATATAAATATTGCGTTGTTTACTTTTTTGGGTTTCGTTCTATATTACGCTTACAGAGTCTTGGTGTTCATTCTTACTTCTCGCTTCGCACGGCTTTTAGGCTTTAAGGTAGATTTGGCTAGTCAATTGCCCCCTCAGCTTATTTACTCCACATAACATTTGTGTTATAATTTTCTACATGAATCAATTCATTACGTAATTTATATCTTTAAAGAATTTCCATATTACCTCGCTTCATTACCAACGGCCTGACCTAGTTTCCCTTACCTTTTATATTCATTTATAGGCACCATAGACAATAACACGTAGGATGAACAAAATACAAATACTTTTTATACAAGCATCACGGCATTTAAAAGAGTAAACAAAACGAAAGCGTAGACTAGTATGTTTTGAAATCGAAAGGACCCTCATATATTACAAAACA